AACAAAGGAGTGGCTTCGGAACAACTCTGTGACCATTCTTGACTGGCCCAGCCAGAGCCCTGACCTAAACCCAATTGAGCATCTCTGGAGAGACCTGAAAATGACTGTCCACCAACGTTCACCATCCAACCTGACGGAACTGGAGAGGATCTGTAAGGAAGAATGGCAGAGGATCCCCAAATCCAGGTGTGAAAAACTTGTTGCATCATTCCCAAGAAGACTCATGGCTGTACTAGCTCAAAAGGGTGCTTCTACTCAATACTGAGCAAAGGGTCTGAATACTTATGACCATGTGATATTTCAGTTTTTCTTTTTTAATAAATTTGCAAAAAATTCTACATTTGTTTTTTTTTTTCTGTCAAGATGGGTGTACATTAATGAGAAATAAAATGAACTTTTTTGAATTTAGCAAATGGCTGCAATGAAACAGAGCGAAAAATTGAAAGGGGTCTGAATACTTTCCGTACCCACTGTATATATAAATAAATAAATAAGCAGGTAAATTACACAGTTTAACGTTAACCATCACAGTGAAATAAAGTTTTACAGACGATCGTTATCCGCTGATATTCAGTAAAATATGCGATCAGGACATCATTTATGCTTCTCTAGTCGCCGATCTCTGAGAATGTTACATTGTAAACAACCAATCCGTGTTTAAACTGACAGGAGGACTAGTATCTGTTACTTTATGATGCGTTCAGGCTATGTTCAGTGAAAATGAGTATTGGCCAAATTATAACGCTATGATGTGTTCGCATGTAATTTCGCAAAATGTAGTGTTTGTGGAGAAACTTGAATATACCCAGTTGTTTGAAGGAGACGTTTTCACAGCAACATAAATAGATATTAGAGATGAATTATGAGCCGTTTATAATAACTAAGCAGATTATAATACATTAAAACTATTAATGACAAGATTTGTTTAAATCCATGAAATACATATTTTTTTATTCCTTATCATTTGAATTGTGTGATTTTATGAAGAAAAAAACACTATAGATGACTATGCCAAAATAAAGATAACATTTTGAATTTTTGAATGTTTACACTGACTTCAGAGTGGTTGAAATGATTTTTGGGACGGATGGAGCCCTGTAGACCAGCTACTACTGTCAGACAACAAAGGGATTGGAAGACTCACGTGGGATCCGAAACAGAAGAGGTCCATTCCTAGTTCATATCCCATGCCGTAGTCACACTCGTCGTTGGCAAACTGAACAAAAGTGACCATCTCCTGGAGAGGTCCAAAGGCTTTGACGCGCTCTTCGTCGTTCCGGGCCTCAGCGATGGCCTTGAGGATCTTCTTGAGGCCAGCTGAATATAGAGGATGAAAAGAAATATCAAGTAATCACTGACAGGGCACCTACCTGGAATTAAACACGCTTTTCAAGCCTTTCAAACGTCAAGGTTTATTACTATATATATATATATATATTCACTGTGTACGAGCTCACCATCCGTTTCTGGTAGTTCTCTGTATCCGACATCGTTCTTGTCTACAGGTACAACGATGCCGGCACCGTGGAACGCCTTGGTGACCACCTATTGGTGTGACAAGAGATTTCCTGCTAGTGTCAACTTGGAGCACAACACGGTGGTCAAACGTTTTTGTTTTGTTTTGTATATAAAACCATTTTATAATGATTTACCCTCATTAAGTGAAATTACAGTAAGTTTATCCTCTGTGACTGTACCAAGGAGACTCCTTGAAAGCAATATAGACTGTTCTGAAAATGCTACGGGTTTAAGTTATGTTTACTTGTAGTAAACATAACTATGTATAGTATTGACTTGATACGCTGCAGTGGCTTAAATGTACAGTTCAAGGGACAAAGCAACACGTGAGTTAGGAGTTAGGATTGTTTTAAGTGAGTTCTTAAAACAATAGACGTTGGATAAAACCTCTGTTTTTGCTCCCTTGTGTGAGTCACCTTCTTGTCCCTCTGCTTCATGGCTTTGGTCTTCTGCTCTAGGGACAAGCACAGAGTCTCCGCCCTGTCCCTCAGCTGTGCCTCCAAGCTGTCCAAGGCGTCTCCGCCAGCTTTCTTGCTGCCCCTCTCTTTCCTCCTCCTCAACAGATACAGGCTGATGGAACAGTGCGGAAGACGACATGCATGGAAGAGGAAAGAATCAAAAGAAGACAAATGCAGATATAATAAGGCATATTATCACAATAGGTAATTTACCTTTTATGATCACTGATCTGAACAAGCATTTAGCGTGTGACAGTTTTTGTGTGGCATCCATATCTGCATGTGTAAATCTGTCTTTTGACATCATACAATTATTCTTATTATTCAATTATTATGCTTACTCACCGTTTGCTACTGGTGAGAAATGAAAAGTGCAGTGTCAGCGTACTGCAAAAATTGAAACAGAACTAGAAATGCCAGATGGATAAAATGCCCTAATGTCAAACAGTCTACAGTTTCTCATATTGAAATTGAAACTTTGACTCTTAAAACAGGCAGCTGAAATTATAGAAAATGTCTCCGCGTGGTCAGTACTCACAGGACAGCAGCGAACATATTGTCTCCCATCTGCGCGATGGCGCAGCCTTTCTTGGCTTCATTTTCCCCAACGAACGAAGGCAGGGAGTCTGGAAGGTCTCTGGTGGATTTGGGGAGCAACAGAATTCAGTAAATCAGAACGAATCGTACTCATGTAGACACAGTTACCGCGGTTTCTGTTGTGTTCTCACTGTAGCTGGTATAGTAAGTCAACGGCTCTGTCGTGAAAGCTACAGCATTGCCATAAGCAAGTACGCCGGCTAGGCACGGGCGTCGTGTGTACCTGTAGTAGCCGATGTGATGCTGACTGTCTCCACTCCCCAGGAGGATGGTCTGAAACTCCGGCGGGTCGTATAAATACCGCCAGTGGAGGTGGAAGTTGGGCTGAGGATTGTTGGCGTTTTTGTGGGCTCCTGCCAGGATGTCGAAGGGACCAACCAGCTGCAAACCCAGCGTGTCTTTCAGAGCACCTATATGGATTAAGATGAATTCAAAAATATATTGACACAGACATAAATAGAATCAGTCAAATGTTTGTGTTCGCTTGCTGCAAATTGGGCTTTTACGGATGGTTTTGATACTTATATTGATGTATTGTGTGTGTTGTGGAACAATTTACAAAACCAAAGAAAGCTAAAAGACACATTCAAGGAACCACATTCTTCCAGTAGCTTCTATTATCCTCGTTATGGTCTTACAAAGCAGCCTGTTAAAAATGTAAACAGGAAATCAGTCATATGGGAAGTTTTTCTTTCTTCCATCCTTAGTCTGACGGTCACACAAAACCTGCAGATGTCACTTTGATCAAGGAAACCTGCATTGAGGAATTGCTAAAAAATGTTTTGACTCTTTATAGATTATTGACGATTAGTGGCTGTCAGACTTATATGGTGTGTTAAACAGCAATGTTGTTTCGACCACCGTGGACTGTCTGGCATTTATTAAGACCATGGGGGCTGGTACTGTGTATTTTTACAAGTGGTCTCGTAGAACATTTGAGCATTCAGCCACATTCATCCAGCCTTTCCATTGGCTAAGTATTGGTCCATCCCGTTTTCTCTACATGTCTAAATGGACGCCCCTTTCCGTACAAACCGGTTTTCATGTAACAAGATAGAGCGTTGTGGTAGAGAGCATACCACGGGGGCTGTCGGGGCGGAGCTCCTTGCAGAAGTCCCAGAAGTGGTACAGATCTTCTGGCATTTGAAGCTTGTACAGTTGCAGCATCTCGTCTCGTTGCTCTGAATGCACCTCTGAAGATGGCGCGGCTTCAGATTCATCGGTACGGGCTTTCTTAAACTCCCCATTGCCAGTACCGGACTCCTGAAGAAAAGCATTGCAGGAAAAATGATGTTATACACCGAGTCACCAGTGTATTTGGTAAACAGCCCTGCAATACATTGAATTGTATTGTATTGGGTTATACTTGTAGGTCCTCCACAAGGGTAAACTAAATATTAAAGAAAAAAATGTTGCTATGATGATAACAAGAATCAAGCCAACAGAATTATGCAAGTTAAAACATTTAGTAATTGGGTTGAGAGGAGTCAGATACCTGGGTGTTATTTTTACTTCAAACCCCTCCCAGTTAAACATATACATATATACACACACACACATATATATACACACACACACACACACATATACATACACACATATACATACACACACACATACATACACATACACACATACATACACATACACACACACACATACATACACATACACACACACACATATATATACATACACACACATACATACATACATATACACACACACACACACACATATATATATACACACACACATATACACACACACACACATATACACACACACACACA